CTGTAACCCAGTTCAGTCCAGTAAGGAACTGCTCCTAGGGTTTATGACTGCCAGAGTCACCAGGGGATCTGAGTCCAGCAGGGGAAGAATTTAGGCTGGGGAAGTTCACTCAATTCCAGCCCCGTGCCTTCTGTCTCAGCTAAATTCCTCTGAAAGCCAGAGGCTGCTGGAGCTGATAAGAAACTCAGCCCTGGGCAGCAAGCAATTATGGTTTACACTCAGGTGTCAATTCCAGCCTTTGCCCACCCACTGCCTTTGTCTCAGCTGTATACCCCTGAGGGGTAGGTGCTAATGGTCTCTTTACTCACAACTTCCCAAGTCTGTTCAGCCAGTGGCTGCTGTCCGGAACCTCTGGTTGCCCAGAGAGACAGGGTGTGCCTATCTGGAATGGCATTAGGGATGTGAGCGTCTCCCGCCACTCAGGACACTGCAGCTCCTGTATGGCTTCCTCTGACCCAAGGTTCTTCTCCTTACTCTCATGGCACAGAGTCAGCACAGAGCTTCACCAGCCCTTTCCCCCTCCACTCCTCTCAAGGAAATGCCCAAGATTCTGGACTCCATCAGTGACAAGCCTCCAGACCTCAGGGTGAGAGTGAGGGGGGAATCCTCAGAGTTCAGAGTTGCAGGTCGGGAATATATACAGTTTTATGCCTGGCAGGAGGGTGCCGTAGCATGCCAGTAGGGGTAGGAGGTCCAGTTTTTAGGGAGTCTCTCCCATGGGATAGAGTGGGAGGATGTTTGAACTCTGCTCACTTGTTTGGATGGAGTAAACTGTGAGCCCTTCTTGTGGGGGAGGGGACTTCCATCTGCTTGTTGGTGGATTTTGTACCTTTTGATTGTATTTTGGGGGTTGCAACTCACCTCAGCAAGATTAAAGTGCATTCTTCAATCTTCTCTCTTGGCTCTGCTCCAAACCATCAGCTCCCTTGCTAAACTTCAGTTCTTTAAGTCTCCTTCTGGATGGAAGCCTCTGTAAAAAGATGGCTGCAGTCCACCATCTTGCCTCTACCCCCCAGGAAGGGATATTAAAAAACCTTAGGTTGAATGACAGAAGAGATAAAGAAGGAAATCATTAAGTTCCTTGATCATAAGAACATGAAGAAAGACACAAGCCACCAAAACCTGAGGGATACTACAAAAGTAGTTGTAAAGGGGGAAATTTATCACATTAGATCCATACATCCCATAAACAGAGGGCACATCAACAAACTAATGAATTATCATTAGGTTGATTGGAGCAGAAGAACAATCCAATCCAATTCTATGGAAATGGAAATGGAAGAACAATCCAATCCTAAACATAGCAGAAGAAAAGAAATAACCAAAATTAATTCAGAAATAAATGAAACTGAAAGAATCATTCAGAAAATTAATGAAACAAAAAGTTGGTTCTTCAAAAAGATAAATAAAATCAATAAACCTTTGGCCAGATTAACTAGAAATAGGAAAATAAAATCTCTAATAACCTCAATAAGACATGAAAAGAGGGAAATAACAACAGATATCACAGAGATACAAGAGATTATCTCTGACCACTACAAGAAACTCTATGCCCAGAAATTTGACAATTTGGAGGAAAAGGACCAATACCTGGAATCACATCCTCTCCCTAGACTTAAGGAGAAAGAAACAGATCTCTTGAACAGACCAATATCAGTCACTGAGATTGAAGAAACAATAAAAAATCTTCTAACACAAGAAAGGCCTGGACCAGATGGCTTCACACCAGAATTCTATCAAATCTTCAAAGAAGAAGTTGTACCTATACTGCAGAAAATATTCTAAAACACTGAGAAAGAAGGAACCTTCCCCAACATATTGTATGAAGCAAACATTACCCTGATATCAAAACAAGGAAAAGACCCAGAAAAAGACCCTTTTTTCTAGCCAGGAAAAGTAGAACTACTGACCAATTTTGCTAATGACTGTTAATGCAAAAATACTCAATAAAATCATAGTTAATAGATTACAGGTACACATTTAAAAAATTATACATCCAAGTCAATTAGACTTCATCCCAGTGATGCAAGATTGGTTTAGCATACCCAAATCTATCATTGTAATTCACCATATCAATAGAAGCAAAAACAAAGACCATATGATGCTCTCAATAGATGCAGAAAAAGTATTTGTTAAAATTTTAAGCATCCTTTTCTAATTAGTACAGTTAAGAATGTAGGCATAGGTGGCACATTTCTTAAACTAATTAAAGCCATCTACAACAAACCCACAGCTAATATCATACTGAATGGAATAAAACTGAAAGCTTTTCCACTAAGAACTGGAACCAGACAAGGATGTCCTCTATTGCCACTACTTTTCAACATAGTGCTGGAAGTTCTAGCCAGTGCAATCAGGCAAGAGAAGGATATAAAGGCATCCAAATGGGTGCAGAGGAGGTCAAACTCTTGCTTTTTGGTGATGATATGATCTTACACTTAGAAAACCCTAGAGATTCAACCACAAAACTCCTGTAAGTGATCAGGAAATACAGTAACATCTCAGAGTATGAAATCAGTGTTCACAAATCAGTAGCCTTTGCTTATGCCAGTAACATCCAAGTTGAGAAGCTAATCAATGACAATTCCCTTCATAGTAGCTTCAAAGAAAATGAAATACCTAGTAATATACCTAACAAAAGAGGTGAAGGATCCCTACAAAAAGAATCATGAAAGTCCAAGAATAGCACAAGACATAAACAAGATGGAAGAACATACCATGCTCCTGGCTGGGAAGAATCAACATTGTTAAAATGTATATTCTGCCCAAAGCAATCTACAGATTCAATGTAATGCCATTAAAATACCAACAGCATACTTTGAAGAAGGATAAAATTAGTACTTCATTTTGTATGGAACCAGAAAAAAAGACACATAGCCAACACAATTCTTACTACTAAAGACAAAACTAGAAGTATAACTCTACTAGACTTCAGGTAATGTTATTACAAGTCCATAGTAATCAAAACAGCATGGTATTGGCACAAAAATAGAGACAAAGACATATGGAACAGAATAGAAAACTAAGGGATGAAACTAGTCTCTTATTACCATCTGATTTACCATTTGATAAACCAAACAAAAGTATACAGTGAGGAAAAGAATTCTTATTCAACAAATAGTACTGGGAGAATTGGACCACCACATGTGAAAACCTGAAACTGGACACACATCTTCGCTACTTGATTGACTCCAGATGAATAAAAGATTTAAGACATGAAATAATAAAAATCTTAGAAGAAAGTGTGGGGAAAACTCTTAAGGATGCAGCCTGGGGAAAGATTTTATGAAGAAGACTTCAGCAGCCATCACAACCATGACAAAAATTAATAACTGAGACTTAATTAAGCTGAAATGCTTCTGCACAGCTAAGAACACAACAATTAAAGCCAATAGACAATTTTCAGAATGGTAAAAGATATTTGCATGGCATGAATCTGACAAAGGCTTGATAATTAGAATACAGAGAACTCAAATCAATCAACAAAGGAAGAGTAAACAATCCCATCTACCTCTGGACAAGAGATGTGAACAAAACCTTCTCTTTGTTAGACAGTGGCTAACAAACATGAAAATATGATTATCTTCCCTAATCATCAGAGAAATGCAAATCAAAACCACCCTGAGACACCTAACCCCAGTGAGGATGGCCCACATCACAAAGTCTCAAAGTTGCAGATGCTAGTGTGGATGTGGAGAGAAGGGAAAACTTTCACACTGTGGGTGGGACTGCAAACTAATACAATGTCTTTGAAAAGAAGTATCAAAGAACTCAAATTAGAATCCTCCCATTTGATCCTGCAATCCCATTACTACACATCTACCCAGAAGAAAAAAGAATCATTTTATCATCAGGGGATTTGCACAATATTGTTTCACAGTCAATTGACAATCACCAAACATGGAAACAAGCTAAATGCCCACCAACCTAGGACTGGATTAACAAGCTGTGGTATATTTACACCGTGGAATACTATTCAGCCATAAAAAAAGATGGAGACTTTACATCTTTTGTATTAACCTGGATGGAAGTGGAACACATTCTTCTTAGTAAACTATCACAAGAATGGAGAAGCAAGAATCCAATATATTCAATACTAATATGAAACCAGTAGACAAAATGATACGTACCTGCGTAAGGAAAACTCAAATCAATTCAAGATAGGGTGAAGGGGAGGAGAGAGAAGGGGACAGAGGAGGAAGAGGGGATGGGTGGCTCCCACTTAATGGGCACAATGTTAGGGTGTATGGCACACCTGTTGGGAGTGGGACACAATTGTAAGAGGGACTCTACCTAACAAATGCAAACATTGTAACCCATTTCTTTGCACCCTCAAATAAACCTGAAATTAAAAAAAAAAAAAGCATGGCCATGCATAAGCAGGAAGATCTTTTATACTTTCCTGCTGTTATCCTTATTTCCATTCTGTCTAATCTGTGCGGTCACCGGAATGATCCTTTAAAAACATATGTAAGAGCATGTCATTTCCCTACTTAAACCTTTCAACAGGGGTTTCTCGTTACATTTAAAATCAGGTCTTGTGTCCTGCCGAGTCCTGTCGAGGTAGTGTCAGGCCATCTCCCAGCCTCTGTCCTGCTCATTCCTCCTCCGTCACGACTGGCCCTTTGCTGCTCTCTCCAGCCTTCATTCCTTTGCAGCTGCTCTCCCCTCTTCCTCAGTAATTCTTTTCAGAGGTTCACTGTTCACCATGATTTGCTCCCTGACTTCATTCTGGTGCCTACTCAAATATCACCCTTTCAGAGAGACTTTCCCTGAACATATTTAAAATAAAAATCTGTCCCCGCGTTACCAGCTCTCCCTCATCCATGACTTGGTTTTTATCCACAGTATTTACCACTTGTCTCACGTTCTGTATTCCTCTATTATTAATTATCTGTGCTCCCCTCAGGAATTTAAGCTCCCAGAAAGTCAAAATTGTGAGCTGCCCCACAGTTTTCCTGACGTCTTTCTTTAAGGATTTTGTTTCTTTCACCATGCAGCATGCTGCAGAATAACCGGCTGAGACAGGTGCCCACGGAAGCGCTGCAGAGTCTGCGAGGCCTTCAGTCCCTGTGAGTACACAAGAAATCGCAAATGTGCTCAAGAGCAACTGGGGGAGGAGCATTGAAATATCTGGTGACCATTTTGTGTGCCTTCCTCGCCTTAGGGTCATTCCTAAGTGAACCGAGTGAGAGTCTATTAGACCAAAAATTCCCCCCATCCTCATTAAGCAAATATGGATGAAAGAGACCAGTGCTGGAGTTTGGGGTTTCAGGGCAGAGACTTAATACACCTGCAGTCAAACCTCCACTTCCAGGATCTTGTCCTAGGTTTATTTCTCTATTCGATTCTTGTTCCTGAATTTAAATCAGAAATAATGCTTTCCTCTTACCTAGAAAAATGGATGCCATAATCTAGAATTCTTGGCATCTTCATACTTATTCTGTTTTTAGATTGTCTGAGCTGCCTTGTGACCAAGTGTTTCAGAATTAAATAAAGACTTGATTGTTAAGTCCTGTATATGCATTAGGGGTGATCAAGTCAGAAGACGGAGCTGTGCTGATACAGCCTGAAGCACTGGCCGTGCTGCCGCACCCATCGACAATCCAGGAGCTCCCCCCTCACTGCACACAGATGGACAAACACCATCATAACAAGCTCCCAGGTTCACACATATGGGAGATTCACAAGCCACACACACACATACCTGTGCAAACACACCAGTGTTGGTGCTGGTGTCCCATCAGGAGTCCCCCAGCACCACCCCCCCACATACGCACTGGTTTAAAACCTCTGACTAAATGAAAATTAACAGTTCCTCACAGAAAGAACATTCTCACTGATGAGATGTTTTGGAACTTGGATTATAAGCATTTGGTTGCAATGATTACTTGACAAGTCAATGCTGCTATTTTTTTCCAGTAAATATTCCTCTCATCAGAATGTGTGTGTTTACGATACATTGCATAATTTCCAGTATATATGTGTGTGATATATGCTTTAATTTTACTTACACCAGAGGTCCTCATCTGTCAAACAAAATGCTGGTTTCTGGCCTTGCATGATGAGAGAGAGAAATTCATAAAAAAGGCAAATAAATATCACAGACACTAGTTGAAAATTGCTGTGACGAATCCCTGGGTTAGTAATTACATACAGTTTGCCAAGTGCCTTTTACTGAGACGACACAAGAGAAGGACGACCATGAGATTTGAAGATGATACTTTCCATCCTTTGATCTTTTTTTAATGAAAGAAAATCTGTGCTTGAGATCGTTTTAAGCCTTTTACTGCAGTCAAACAAAGTGACTTCCTAGGTTTTCACCAGCCTGTAGATAAACAAACCCACAAGGGCCCCTTTGTGGCCGGGGTAGGTCTGTTGCATTTCCAGGGGCTCCCTAATGACATGACGGTGTCGCTCCTCCTGGGTTGCACAAGCCTTTACCTCAAGGGAGGAGCGGCAGCCGGGGGAGCGAAACAGCCTCTACTGTCTCTCTGTAAGGGCTCGGGGTCTGGGGGCTAAACTGAAATCAAGATAATGGCCATGGCCAGTAGGAACTTTAGAACAGCTGCGAGGCAGGCAGTAGATAGAAGGATAAGAGTTTGTAACCAAAAGCCACTATCAGCTGAAAGGAGAACACAAACAGCACGGACTCTTTGAGGAAGAGAAAAACCATGACGCTTTTGTTCACTCCGAGTGGGTGTTGCCTCTCTGATAAAGGTGTTCAGATTTAGTTTCTCACAGTCGACATTGACTGCTCACCAGGTGTCTCTTGCATTTGGTTTTTAGTTCACAGAAAGAATTACATTTGGAAACATCATAAATATGTGTTCCCTGTGAAAAGGTCAAGGGCTAACTTTCCAGTTTGACACTTGGTACATCCAGACCGGAGCACCTGAGATAGGTCGTCCGCCCCCAGTTCACACGCTGCTATCAGCCGGCTGTGCAGTCGCCACCGTTTCTCTGCCCAGAGGACAGACAGACCCGTGGGGGGCTGAGTGCTGGCAGCGTGTGCCAGCATGCCACTTTTCTCGCTGATATTTTCTGTGCTGCTTTGATACAAGAATTAAGAGTTGTCCAAAAGCTTAATAAACACAGGCTTCCCCACCAACACTGGCACACTACGGGACCAGCTGAAGGAGAGTCTCACTTTGGGTGCAGGCTGGGCTGGACTGGAGACTGAGGGCACAGTGAGCCCGCTGACGTCTTAATAAAATATTTAAAGTATTTCGTTGTATTTCTCCCACTTCCATTAAACAGTTCAAAAAATAAGAACATTAGTTTCGAGTTTAATGGTCATTACAAACATGCGTTCCTAACACATGTTCTCCTCATTTCCCAGGCGTGTGTGTATCTGTTAGGGAGGAGAGTGACGCTGCGTGGGACTCTGCCTCATGTGTGTCCCACACCCAGGACAGCCTCTCTGTTCAGTGTCTGTCTCTTCTTGGACCAGACTCAGCCCCGACTCTGCACTTAGCATCCTTTTCTGCATGGCTTCTCTTTTTTATTTTCTCCCTCTTGAATTCATTCTATTTTTCTCTACTTTATTACTTTTTTTGCATTATACATTCACTCTCTAAGAAGCACTCTGTATTCCACAAGATTTGTGTGCTCCTTGCCCCTAAGGATGCCTGGCCTGGCAACTTCTACAGTGGGGCTTCTCAGTGTCGGCCACAAGTAAGCGTCATCTGGAGAGTCCCAAAGTCTAGGCTGCAGCCCAGAACAGTTAGAATCAGACTCTCTGAAGATAGGACCCAAGCACCAGTGTTTTCTGGCTGGCCTTATTGTAGTCAAGCCTTTCCCAAAGTGAAAATTAGGAAAACTGGCGTCCCACAGCAGTCCTTCTGCTGATCTACCAACTATTCTCCCAAACTTGAAATATAATGAAGCCCATATTTTGCATTCTAATATAAGCAAATTATGTACTTAGAGTATAGAAGTCAGGTACTGCCCTATGTTTAATTGAATACAGCTCACATCTGCCCATTAATTCTACTGATCACCTAGAGCAGATCACATTAAGAGTTTGCTGCTCTGTCACCTCTGTTTGGATGTGGCCCTTGGACCAGCATCTCCTGACACATGCAGAACCTCGGGCCTCAGCTCAGTCTTATAAGAATCTCCATCTGAACAACATCCTATGTGATGTGTGTACAAAGTGCACTTAAGAAGTTAACATTTATAGTGTTCTATTACACCCACAAAGTGGTCTACAAACCAAAAAATAAATCATTTGTATTCTTTGCTCCACCCATATAGACTTGACTTCATTGAATAAAATTTAAGAAACTTGATATATTGAAAATTGGTAACATTCCTATGAGGAAGAAACAAAAGTGTGCTCATGTTTCCAGGGATGTAATTTTCCATTTATTCCACATATACAAAAGACATTGTGCTTTGTTCGTAAAGAAAACACCTAGGTGCATTTGTGCACTTTTAACCCTCTCGATGCTAATGAACCACTCAGCTAAAGAACCACAGCTCAGGCCGACTGGCCAGCACCCCGCAGCCCAGAACGCGCTGCTGTGCTGTGCACACATTCAGCTTCTGACGTGGCAGTGGCTGCCCAGACACCCATTGGATTGTTGGTAATGTAATCAAATATAACATAATTTCCTTTCTGCTTTTTGGAAAGGAATAGGAAATGTAATCAGAATTCACAGTGACTTATATTTCACCAAGAAACTTTTGCTATTAGGAACATTTTAGGTCTAGGGTTAGATTACAGTGATTTGATGGAAACTTGAAACTTACGCCTTCACACCTCTGTATCAACAATAAAGAAATCAATCTAGGCTCGGTGCCCTTAGCTTAGTGGTTAGAGCGTCAGCCACATGCACCAGGGCTGGTGGGTTCGAACCCCGCCTGGACCTGCCAAACGACAATGACAACTACAACCAAAAATCAGCCGGGCATTGTGGTGGGCGCCTGTAGTCCCAGCTACTGGGGAGGTGAGGCAAGAGAATCATGTAAGCCCAAGAATTTGAGGTTGCTGTGAGCTATGTGACACCACAGCACTCTACCAAAGACGACATAGTAAGACTCTGTCTCAAAAAAAATAAACAAATTTATTAAAAAATCAATGTTAAAAAAAAGAAAAAATCATTGCTTCATTTGTGATAGTTGTTGATGAATTTCAAGCAATTCACTGTCATTGTGAAGTTCAGATGACCAAAGACCTATCACGGTTGTCCAGGTAACCAGAGTATTTTTTTAATGCGTGTTCATTCCAAGTCTGCCCCAGTGAAGCTGACTGTGGAATGTGTACGGTCGCAAAGATAACAGGTGGGGGAATAGATAATGAAAGGAGAAATTAAACATATGTTTATTATTATCTAGTCTCCAATTAGTTAATATCCATCTTCAGAGTATAAGACTATATTTTACAACCCCAAAATAATGGATAATTCTTACCTGGCACCTGATATTTTTTTTTAATTTTTTTTAATTGTAAGGGATTCACTGAGGGTACAAAGAGTTAGGTTACACTGATTGCATTTGTCAGATACAGTTCCTCTTATAATTGTGTCCGGCCCCCAGTTGGCAGCTGATCTTACCATGATACCATCTTCAGGGCTGTAAGACCCACCACTGTGCCTGTGACATGTCAGTAACTTCACATGGACTATTCAACGTTTTCGGCTAATTGTAGTCAAAAAAGAGAAGAGAAAAGAAATACAGTTTTTTTTAAAAAAGAAAAGGAAGAAAGAAGAGGAGAAAGAAGAAAGCAGAGCAGACAGCGCCTAGAACCAGGAGCAGTTTTCTTCTATCCAGGAGCCTATTGCGTTGCAGACCAGGATCCAGACAGGGAAGGAAGCAACTGAAGACAAGGAAGTGTAAGCAGATGAATGAAGGGAAGGTGACTGGTGAGAGTAAAGGATCAAAGAGGTTAAAAAAACAGTGGTTTCAGATTTGGTAACATTATTCCCTCCGCTAAATAGTCTCCAGAAAGAGAAGTTACAATAAAGAACCGCTGTACTCTGTGTTTGTTTTATTTTTCACAAAGTGCCCACATATTCAGTAGATAGTTGGATGGAGGTGGATTTAGAAGTTCTAGAGACCAAAGAGT